ACGGGTCGTTGCAGCGTGTGCCAAACGCCTTCGTGACCCGTCGACATATGTGTTCCGGGGTCACGATTGTTTACCGGCACGTGGGGCCTGTTTTTGGTAATGCCATAGCTTACGTCCGGCGCTCCGTTCGTAAGGAACTGCCTTCCGGAATACGGTGACCGCGGGGCTCGTTGGGCCGTTGTCCTGCAAAGACATGCTCTTCATGCTTCCGGGACTCGGGTCGCCAGTATACGCCCCGCTGTCCGACATCGCAATCGGGCCCCTTCGCGTGATAACTAGACGGGACGACCAGGCCTCCGAAGAGTTGTACCATGGAACGTCCCATAACCCACCTGCCCTCGGGCCCGATTGAGCGATGCTGATAAGTGTCTGCTTTCTTCCGTTCCTGGAGCATCCTTGCGTCGAGATCCTCCCGGTCCAGTTCTTGACCTCGCGTCCTAACGATGTGCCATACTCAAAGCACGGAAAAGTGGAAAGAAGCGAGCATACGCCGTCGATTGGATGTCGACCCCGGACACATGGACTCAGCGAGCTTTGCTAGGATAGAAGAGGCTTTCCATTTGACCGACTCCCAATATGGCCGTAGCCTATACGGGTCCTGTAGGATGTTAACCAGAGAGGAAGTCGTATCGGCAATAAACTATCAAGGATCAACAGGAATAGGAGGCCCTTACTCCTACGTTACTTTTTCCCCTAGTGGAAACCGAGTTTGCTCGTGGGTATATATGTGTGAAGGAAAACGAAGTGCGAAGATGCGATTGCCCTGGAAATGACAATACGCAGCGAAATGTTTCTGATTTGCGGGCGACAAATTTTCATACGGGTCGTTTACTCCACGTGGTCATATTTTTCAAAACTAAGGTGCTTTCGAAACTGAAACTAATGAAATTGAGTTCACAATGAGCAGTTCAAAACAGTGGCGCGCTCCGTTTCAGGTAGGCAAGCCGTCTCCGTCAGCCGACCATGAGCGGCTAGTGTCAGTCATACCTAAACGAGTTTAAGAGTCCCTCGGTATTAGAGGGTTAATATTTGAAATACAAAATTCCTTTTACCTCCGATCATATTTTGCCAATAGTCTTATTTTTGATGTCTCTGTAATATGATACGAATGTATGAGGGATGTTCCATAAAGACTGGAACTGACGTCGTCAGTAATTTATTATCAAAGTTTACATATTGAAACACTTGTTTCTTTCAAAATACTTCCCCAGTCGATGCAATGCACTTATCCCATCCTTGTTGCTACTCCTTGAAGGTGTACAGAGTGCCATCCTTTGACAATCGCTTCAAAATCGCCTTTAAAACATTCACCGTGAATATGGCCATGGTTATCATTTTCTTGGATTACAGGGGTATTGCGTAAACTCACACAATTCCAAAACATACTACAGACACCGCATTGTACTACAGAAACGTTCTAGGTCAATTAATGAAGGATCACATACCGAAAAAAAGGAGGAAACTTGTTGGAAAGTGGAGGCTGTATCACCACAGTAGACAAATAAACGGAACGCTCTTGAACGGTTCGCACTCTTGCGTGCGTAAAATTCACATAGCCTTCGGCGCAGAAACTCCATTCAGACCAATATCTTTGCGTGCACGTCGGCATGTGACACACAATCGTCGACGCAAGAGTGTTCGTGCAAAAGGTCCGAATGCCAGGCCTCAGGTCTCCCATGCAGTACTGTCGGTAAAAGAGCTTTCGTGTAGCAGGACCCCCGATTGATTTTACAACTAGACACTAGGTTTGGCCATAAAACCCGTAATGTGAGACTTCTATGGTACTCGAACTTCGTTCAGGGTTGTAGAATGTCAACACGGAAATGTTTTTCCTTTCTGGTATATTTTTACAAAATTTTGGTACAGCATACAATTTGGAAAATAAGTTAAACAAATGATTGGCTGTTACGAAAAATTCAAAGTAACCAATTAATGAAAGTGAGAGAGCGAGAGAGGGGCGGAGGGAGGGAGGTAGATGGCAATACCTGGACTATCGAAGGTGCATGGTGATCTAATAAAAACCCGGAATTTACTCTAGGTCCTGACTCGTCGGTCTCCAATCCGTTACAATTAATTTTTAACTTTTCCTTCGGAAGTTCATTCAAGATTGAAAGAAACTAATTTGCCATTCGAGACTTGCTATTATATTCGTCGTAAACAAATGTTTAACTTGGAATATTCACGGAAGAAGTTTATATATTTCCCAATCTTTGACAACTATACGTTACCCTTTATTAATACGTAAATTACATATTACTGAGCAAGAGATGACGGGGGCCTGAGATGTAAAGCAAATATACTTCTGTAGGGTACGCATGGCCGTGGCTACGGTTTCATCAATGGGCCCTGGGTCATCCGTAAAATGCATAGTTGTAAAATCAGTCGAGCATCCCACTCCACGAAAGCTGTTTCACCGACAGCATAGTTGCTTCAAAGATATAGCGTTAGCCATAAACTTGACCAACCCTTAAACCAGGCCTGTCCAACTTCTGGCCCACGGGCCAAAATCGTTAATCGCCCCTACCGGCTTGCTCTTTCAGCCGAGGGGAATGACCCCCCCCCCTCCAAATTCACAAGAAGCCCGACGATATAGAGGCAAAAAAGCGTGTGTACATGCTCTGACTGTCCCCACTTCCGACGCTCCAGAAATTCCTACCCGCACGTACCTCTTGCTCCACGATCGCATCGCAGCGCAAGCGAGTAGTGGGGAATGGACTGAGTGATGGTGGGGACCGCGTCGTCTGGCGAAATGACTGGCGGGCCACATGTTGGACAGGCCTGCTTAAACCATTAGTCCACGGTCATCGGGGGCCCATTGTGTCCCACCGCACTCAGGTTCGTACGCGCCTTTTAGCAATGGGGTTCCAAGGATTAAAATTAAAAAGGATAAAATTCCTTCGTGAATAAAAGAACCAGAAGTATTTTAAATCGAAAATCAGTACGCTATAAGAACTTGTTTAATTATATTAAAACGGAAGAACCGGCCTCAAATTGACGTCGCGCGTCCCTGAACGACAGTCGAGCACAGTTCCGGCTGTCGAAACACATAAACTTAAGGGTCGGTAATGTTTATTGCTAACGCTATATCTTTGAAGGAACTATAACTGTGTTCCTAACCAAAAAAGGCATCTCCACAATACCCAACTCGCCTTACAGCCCTGATCGGGTCGCCTGCGATTTCTTTCTTTACCCGACGACCAAAAAGAACGTCAGTTCGACAATCAAATGCAGACTGTGAAAGCTTTAGAGGCGATTGTAAAGCGAATGTTGCAGGATGGCTTTCTGCACGACTTCCAGGAGTGGCAACAAAGATGGGACAAGTGCATTGCATCGACTGGGGTAGTATTTAGAAAGAAACAAATGTTTGAATATGTAAACTTTGATAATAAATTACTGACTACGTTAGTGCCAGGCTTTATTGAATATTCTTGTACCGAATACAAGACTTAAGTAAAAGCTGAAATTTCGGCCAAATTAATTGTTGTTCAAACAAATTACAGGAAGACTGTCTTCGCAGTAGCGAAGAGTATGTAAGGATCACTTCAAATCGAACATTCTGCGCGGGTGGGATGGACGGAACCGGTCCATGCAACGGTGACAGTGGTGGCTCGTTCATATTGTACGATACGAAAACAAAGCGGTTTTACCTCCGAGGTGTTGTCTCGTTATCTCTTATCGATCAAACAAGCAGGTCCTGCGACCTCAAGCAATTAGTCGTTTACGTGGACGCCGCTAAATATTTGGACTGGATACTAGCAACTGTTCTTGCAGAGACTAAGGATTTATCGGCCCTATCTTCAAAATAATACGAAATCAATCGAAATTTGTGAGATTGTTCTTTTAGTCTTCCTGACGTGCTGCAAAAACTTGTACACGATTCCACTAAACGGCTGCTAAGTTAGAACGATTTTAATGTTCACTGGTTTTACAGGTACTCTTATGGAAAGAGACGATCTTGACAGATAAAATAGCTGAAGGAATGTTGAAGAAATAGTACCAATGTTGTCAATTTCTTTGTAAATCCAGTACACGGATAGATGAAAATAACTGCTAAGTTTCAATCGTTTTCACTACACCGTTTTAAAGAAATAAATTATGATTTGAAAAAATTTTGTTGTCAGCACATGTATTTTGATGGCTTGTGAAAGCACGGCAACGCCATAATCAGCTGGGCAAGTGAAACAAACTTCTAGCTGTTGCTACACGTATGTATATTTTCTATGTGTTGCAGAAAACTTTTCGTCTCCGTCGTGCATATGTAGAGATAACTTCTCGTTTCTGGCATTGTAAACAGCGAACCAGGGATGGGAAAAGTAGCATTTGTGCGAAAGCGCTCCTATACAGGGACGCGAAGCGCTAGCACTTGACGATCGACGGTTCGCTTGCAGGCCTACAACCGCTCCCACTTTTGTGACCAACCGTTCTGTAGTAGAGTAACGAAGGCGCAAATACCGATACCATTCCCATTCTATTTATAGACAAGGGTCGCGCCAAGCTTCCGACTCCGAGTGTGTCGAATATAGGAAATTTTCCCTTTCTTTTAATTTAGCAAATTTGGCCTATTTGAATAATACTTGTTGAAGTTGAAATATCATTTTTCTGACATGGAAAATTATAAATAAATTTCTGTATAATTTTGTATAAAGGTGTCGAAAAGATTAAAAAGGTACACAATTGAAGTTAAACGGACAAGAAATAAACGCGTACATCATTACGGAAAATTGAATGACTAAATTGTAGTTTTGTTCGAAAGTAATCACCGCTGTTATGAAGCAGTACGAATGTTTGCAAGTTACAATACTGCAAGAGTATTAAGAATCTGTAAACAAACGATGGGATATAAATACAATTAATAAAACTAAATTAATTAAACCCGTATCTGTAATGGAACGTTCGCGAGTTCGGCACGGTGAAGTCGAATCGTAACTGCGCACCTTCATTATTTTCACGTGCACGCGTCCCCACTGAAGGAAAGGTCTGGGTTAGGTTTGTAACCCGAAATCTTTTCCCTGTGGGCGGGGAACAGAATACGCCCACGGTAATCCCTGCCTGTCGTAAGAGGCGACTAAAAGGGACCGTTGGGATCGCGGGACTGTGGCACCCATGGTCCGGTGGGGGGGGAGCTCTCCGCTCCTTGAAAAATAAATGTAGTTGCAATTTCAACAGTTGTTTTGTTGTTATAGATAAATACATTTAAGTGTTAATTTCAAACGTCCATGAATTCAACAATTCGGTCATTCACTGGTTGATTTACCCTACGTTAGTAAACGTCCTTTCATAGCTTTCGTCTATCAGTATTGTACCTTATTTTTTAATATTCCAAAAAAGATGTAAGTTGTTTTTAACTATAAATAATAATTTTGTTAAATATTAACTAATAATCAAGAAATAATTAATAATAATAATAATTTAATAAGAAATAAGTTGTTTAACTTTGTTTAACTTTATTTAACTTTGTTTAATTTTAATTTTGTTTTATTTAAAATATATATTTTCTATAAACGTTTATAATAAACCAAAATCCACTATGTTTGTTTTTAATGCACAATTTCCTAAATGTATAAAGATAAATATTTAAAAGCTTTTAACAAATATATAACATATACATAATAATACAATGCAATTTTTCCTTAGCGTTATTTATTTTTTAATATTTTCTTATTTTATTTTTTTCTAACTTTGTTTCTTTTATTTATTGCATTAAATTAAATTTGCTACGCTTTTAATTGAATTTTTACAACGTAAAAGAAAAGTATCATGTTTTACTATTAAAAATTAGGTATGAATAATTTATTGAATGTTATGTCCAAACACTGGGACAGCTAAATTAATCACTAGGACATGCCGTAAATAACGTAAATTCCGACCAATAACTCAGCCAAATGAACGCTTTTAGAAGTTTTAGATATTAATATAAGCGGTAATAGGAGCGGTTGTAGAGCGACTCTGTTGTGAAATCGCTTTCGTTACTCGGAACGGTATCTTAGTGGTGAATGGTGAACAACCGCTCTTGAACGAGCCGGTTTGCTTCTTTTTCCTTCCCTGGATTAGAAGAAGCGCCAGACAGGTAACTGGGACGCACTTCTAAAATCCAAGTAAGCGGTTGTAGTACTGCTTCACAGATGGCCACTTACAGGGGGTAGCGGCACCGACTAGGTATAGGATAGACCTATCATCTTATGGGACTTCGTGTCTCATGTTCTGAAATACCGATAGTGTAAAAAGTTAAGAAATTTTCTGCTGCCCTCTACGTTATGAGAACGGTGAATTTGTGAACTATGTTAAATCTAAGAAGGGGTCATGGTCGTGAACGGATTCTCTTCCGTCCGTTCGCTACAAAGTAGACGTATTAGAAAGGAGTCTTGGGTTCTACTCCCGACGGACCTATATTAGTTTTTCTTCGCGTACAAAAAAGTTATTGCGTTTGATATTGTTTTTATGGATATGTATATGTATTGTTATGTACATTTGAGTAAATTATTTTATTATTCCATTGTTATTACAACAGTTTAGCAGTGACAACGAACGCATGCATATTTTCAAATATCGGACTAATAGTATATTTTTATTCTATATTATTACATATAAGTGAGTAATACGTATCAAAAACGTAATCGAAACACAGATTTTTATTACACCACAAACATCGCATAAAAGATATTTCGTTATATTGACATTTGTAATAATTATGGATGTTGCAAGGAAATCAATATTATTGACATTATGGAACATATAACGAAATATCACTGTAACACTTAAAAAAGTTTTAAAGTTCCATTTATATCATTGTCCTGTGAAAATGTTCATACTTCCAGCAACATTCATATTCCAATCAAAGAATTTACAGAATAAGGAAAAGGAATCTAAAGTAATTTTCAGTAAGTAGTTCCATACATCGTTATCTCGAATACTTTTTTAAAACATTCACAGTACTAGACATTTTTACACTTTGAATCTCATATCGATTTCTAAAATAATCCTAGTTCGATACAATATAGAACGTGGTTTTATGAGATAGATTCGAAGTTCG